ACTTCTTTCCATGCGAAAAAGTTTAACCATGTCCATGTTATATTCATTCATGAATTGAAAGTAAGCAATCTATATCCCAAAAATCTACCGATTTGCCGTAAAAAATCGCAGAAACTCGATATACCAGGTCCATGTACCCACTCTTTGAATTCACCAATCAACTTCGTGAGTGCAAATATGTAAAAGTCAATATGCTATACTCATTCTGGGTGCATTTATTTTTCAGTAAACAATAATAAGTAATTTCAATCCCGAAAAACCATCAATTTTCCGTATAAAATCGAAAAAATCGAAATATATCGACTCCCTTACGTGGAAATTAGATTCTACGTTTAAAAATACTTGTGCATCGATATGCTGAACGGAAACCATGTGTGGACACAGTCAGCAGTCTACAGCATCATCAATTCAACAGAAAAACGGCAAAAATTTGATCGTATTTCAGCCGCGCGCTCTGTCCGCCTCTCCTTATTTACAAACCGTTCCTATATACTCATCTCAAAATTTTTCTCAGAGCTTTGGGTTAAAATCAGCTTCCATTTAAACTCCGGTTCGATGGCCGAATCGGCTGCCAAAAAAGCAGGCCACTGTTGAAGGGTTCTATGAGAAATTCGTGATATTATCGGCTCTCAGGAAATCGCTCCATGGCTAAAGTTGGTGGTATAAATGTTTGAGTGTTTAAGATTATTACTTTCAAGAACCTAAGCCATTAAACTATGGAGTCAATTTCGTTTTAATAATATAACGGGATTTACTACCGGTGATTTAGCTATTATAGCCCCAGAATACTTTTAAAGCGCCTTCATATTTCAGAATCTCGACGGAATTTTTTTTTTTTTTTTAACCGATTCAAGAGACAATATAGTTAAAAATATAAAAAGGTTTTTTTTTTTTTTTTGGGGGGGGGGGTGCCTTAAACGACTTAATAAGGTACGAAAAATTGGATTTTTTTACCCAAGAATCTGACTGGTCTGATGTGTAATTGGTGAAATTTTGGTGCATTTTTTTCGAGCATTGCGGGAGATATGAAATAAAACATGAAAATACCCCAAAATTCCCCGAAAAATGGGTTTTCCAGGGCTGGAGGGGGCGGTTGTGGTCAGGAGGGTAAAATTGCCCAAAACCATGTTTTTAGGACCTCCTGAAAGGGTTTGGACCATTAAATTCAAAATCCGTGAGGAGGGGCATTTTGGTGCCCTTACCCAGGGATACCCTTTTGTGTTTGTAAGGTAGAAATAGTTTACTTAGGTTGAAAGGCGGAGCGTGATTGGTTGGCTATGTCTTATCGCTGCTTCGTCTTGCCTATGTCGGGTGGAACTCAAGACAAGCTAACGGCACCTCTTGAGTTTTCGACAATACGTCGTCAACCTCTGAACAAAGCAGGGATAAGACACAGCCGACCAATCACTCTCCGCCTTTTCACCTTTGTCATCTATGTCTATACGCATAGATGAAATAGGTTAAGAGAAACAAAAAATTTCAACAATCCGGCTGCTGCTGAAGTGCATCTATTTCCCCGGTGCCACCGTTCGTAACTGTAAACTGCAGGTTGCAGCTGACCATTCTCCGTTGAGCGTCTTAGGTGTGTTCGGCGAGATACCTACCGGAAATCATTCGACACAGGATCTGCGATCTCGCTCATACACATCACTTCTAGAGGGCGCTATTGATGAGGAAGAAGAAAGACATTTTTTTTACAAATTATTCGAAATATATTTCGCTGGCAATATTCCAAAAATATTCCCTAGTAAAGATATTTTAGGTAAATAATGCAACAGTATTGCCAAAACAAGGTGTCATTATTGATACAATATTTTTAAAAAATATCATCAATATTTACTTGACAATATCTCAGCAATATTGTCACGGGGCTGGACAGCAAAATAGTTTAGTTATATTATTTTAATGTTGCTGATAGATTTTTGAAATGTTCCGAACAATATTACAACAATATTTTTGAAATGTTTCCGTTTTGGGATCGCTTAGTTTTAAAGAATTTTTTGCAAAACACCCATCTCGTGCCTCAAAAATATTTACCTTCGAAAAATGAATCATCCTGAAATGTTCAGGGTTTTTAGGTTGATTGGTTTCAATGTTTTTCTAATCGTATACGGAAAAAAATTAAAAAATGTGACAATTGAATTTATCTCAACGAGGGTACCAAGAAGCCTTAGTATATATCGATGGTGAAAGTGCGTATCTAGGTTTTTGACAGTTTTGAGTTAGCTGCACAAACGTGTTGTTGAAGTTGTCGCCTATCTACCAGCAAGAGATTACAATCGAAAAAAATCGGGAAGTCACCTAAAACCGTTAGATTTTTTTTGCGTATCTTGGGCTTAAGTGTAGAAATTCGTATCTCTTTCTGACCCCTTCATTTGATCCGGCAAGCCTTATGCACACTGCATGCTCCTTAGCGTTTCCCGCCAACAGTGCATACATCAGCTGGTCAGCTGTTCTAAGGTTTTATTTATTTTCAGAAGTTCGCTGGTTTTGAAGAGTTGCTAAATGCTTATTTCTCGCGGGCTTTCCAGTATTATTTTTTCATAGATACCTATTACTAACGGCACGCGGCGTTCATGTCCATTATTCAGTCTCTGGGCCAAAGCAATCGTAAATTATTGACGGTTCATCCACAAGGGTCAGTTGTATTAGAGTCAATCGAGTCATACAATGCTTCAACCACCATATTGGATATCAACTAAGGCTTCTAAAGAAGTTTCAAGTATGAATAAACTCTATTTTTGATCTGAATGATCAAGAGCAGGTTCAACACGCTAATTGCGGAAATGCGTATCTATCGATCAAATGACATTTTCCGATCATACAAGGCTTGAGCCGGCCGTATGAGATCAAACTAAAGCTTGCTTCTGATTCGGAATTGTAAGCGAGAGACTCTTTTATAAGTCTTTAAATGATCCAAATCCGACAACAAAAGGTTTAGAATAGTAACTGCAAACATGCTTATTTCGTGATAAAACGTTACTTAGTACCGAAAACGCGAATCTCCGCATCTGCCGCATTCTCTAACAGTTCGAGAAATTATTCAAAATTCTGATGGAGTCTGAAAATGTATCTTATTCTTGCTATCCTCAAGAATTATTATCCTTCTACTGACAATAAGGAGAATGTAGACAGTTGTTTTTACTCTCCTGGAAATTCGCTCTTTCCGAGATACGCAATTCTGCACTTTCACCGTCGATATGTTGGCGTATTACCTTATTGCCCTACATGCTGTAATTGTGGGGAGACGAGTGCAAAGCATGGCCTGCATGTATGTCTAGACATTTGTATGTATTCCTTTTGTTTTTTGAGAATTTTCATTCCTTTTTGCCACGTATTTTCTCAACGTTTACTTGTCAGGAGTTCTGCCAGACTGCGAGATGAAGTATAAAATGTCATTGCACTTTATAGCCAAGGCATCTTTCAAAACAAATGCATTTTCATTTTCTCTAACTGCCATACTTCCGATTACTAGTATCAGACTCTAGGTAAGATAGAGGGTCTCAAGTGTTAATATTTCTACGTAATCGATAAGTATAATTACATGGGTATGTTTCTAAGATTTATACAGGGTGTCTCACGAAAAAGAAGCCACCTTGTATTTCTGCCAAACGCGTCGGAATTTCGAAAAACGGTAAAAGGCGTGTTCGTTTATATCGAGGAGGACACCTTTTGGCGTATTTGACATTTTTCCAAACCGCGGGAGGGGCGCGGGCGGGGGTGCCCCACCCGTAAGTCGAACTTTTCAAATGGCACCCCTACTTTTTTATTTCAGAAATCAATTCTATTTAAAAAAACAAGCCACCATGTCCAAACCGAATGTAAATCGGACAATTTTTCAGTGATTGGCAGAGGTCGAAACAATTATTTCATGCTCTTTTCAAAAATTTCCGACGCCCAATGGAATTGCCGCATCAAACCAAACTCTCCGCCAAAAACATTCTTAAACATTGCACTTTCGATAAAAAAATCAAAAAAAATCTGCTGCACTCGAAATCTGGAGCACGCGGAGCCTTTCTTTGCGACATTAAAATTCGTTTTACCGAACATTTCCGAGGGGCGCTCATCGGGAGGGGCTAATAAGTTTTAGACAAAAATTATTATTCTTTTTTCTGAAGCATATGAAACTGTATCCATAAAGAAGCAAAAAAGGGGAAAAACAAATGGATTAGCTTTTGGGGGGGGGGGGGGGGTCAATGACTTGAGCCGGACCTTGGTACTTCTGAGGACGCTATTTTTCCGCGGTGCGTTGTTTTTCTACTTTTTTGTTTCTTCATGGAAACGGTTTCATATGCTTCAGAAAAAAGATTAATAATTTTTGTCTAAAACTTATTAGCCCCTCCCGATGAGCGCCCCTCGGAAATGTTCGGTAAAACGAATTTTAATGTCACAAAGAAAGGCTCCGCGTGCTCCAGATTTCGAGTGCAGCAGATTTTTTTTTTTAATTTTTTTTATCGAAAGTGCAATATTTAAGAATTTTTTTGGCTGAGAGTTTGGTTTGATATAGCAATTCCATTGGGCATGGGAAATTTTTGAAAAGAGCATGAAAAAAGTGTTTCAACCTCTGCCCATCACAGATAAATTGTCCGATTTACATTCGGTTTGGACAGGGTGGCTTGTTTTTTTAAGTAGAATTGATTTCTGAAATAAAAAAAGTAGGGGTGCCATTTGAAAAGTTCGACTTACGGGTGGGGCACCCCCCGCCCCGCGCCCCTCCCGCGGTTTGGGAAAACATCAAATACGCCAAAAGGTGTCCCCCTCGATATAAACGAACACGTCTTTTACCGTTTTTCGAAATTCCGACGCGTTTGGCAGAAATGCAAGGTGGCTCCTTTTTCGTGAGACACCCTGTACATGTTCTTGAGAAATGAGGGTCTACAAAGTTTTACCGAAATATTCTCGTCTTTATGCACCCATCTCTAAAAGGTATAGAATTTACGTTCAATTCTGTTCATTATGTTTAATTTTTCCTCAAGATTGTTTTGTTAATATTATTTCAGGCCTTTTTTCGGTTTTGCTCAGAGACCAGGCACTTATGAGTGGAGATGGTCCGAAGTGGATGGTGATGGATGGAGATATTGATCCAATGTGGATAGAATCTTTGAATACAGTAATGGATGACAATAAGGTTTCTTGCTGAAATGTTTCATCACCTATTCTTCCTTATTGCCGGCTTCTTGCTAGCAACCAAGCCAGTCCCATTGAGACATCTTGATGCAAAGGGAGCCGTGCTTCATTTTGGTGAAAAGCCTGGATTTCGTAGGAATACTAACTTTGTGGGACTCATCAGCAAACTAGAATTTGCTCCCTTTGCTTCAAGATGCTTTTCTTTTTAAGTTTAAGTGCGTGCTCAGTATTTCGAAGCTCTTCATTTAAATTTAAAAAGCTCGATTATATTGAGAAAATATTGGTTCCGTTGAGAAAATCTCTAAATCTTTTAAAAATGAAAAATCGCATTTTTCTCCCTCATTAATTCGACATTTTCGGATCCGAGGCAGCAAGTGAATAAGGTCTGTGATTTTGAACAGTACGACCGTATTGTTCTGTAAATCAAAATTAGGATTGCTTAATCTGTATATTTAACCGGAAGAAACGGACCCCTCATCATTTGAAAATGCTTCGATGGGCTCTTTCTGATGAAGGTCAGGGAGATTAGCAAGAGGAATAACCGAAACTTTTGTTTACAACTATACCAGTCCCCATAACCTTAAATTTTTGTTTCGGAACACAAATAATGAACCTGACGCTCTAAATCAGAGAGCAGAATGAATTGTAATGTATTTTTATCGTACCAAAATTGTAAGAGAGATACATCAATACATTGAAGAGGGTATGTAAACATCTGTAAAGGTAGGCTTTCAATTTATCCTTGCAACATAGGAGTTCCGACACTGTAAAAAATGGCCGGCCACCCTACTTTGAAGCGGGAAGCAGGCTTTGAAATGTGGTGCTGTTTATTGAAAAACTCTCTGTTTCAAAGAACCGTATGCAAAACCGGACAGATTCCCCGGAGCTTTGCTTGCGTTCATTCTTTTCCTTTGATACTATTCTATCACGAAGAGCCCTATTTCTGGAAATTTCATGTCCCAAAAAATGTCCCCACGAATTGCTAGCGTTGCCAAGTTCCTCCAAAAATTTGGTAACTTCTGAATCAATTAGGTAAGTCATTCACCTGCGGTTTGCGCTAAAATTCTTTAAAATTTGTAAACTTCCATTCTGCATTTGGCTATCACATTAGGCGTTACATTTATGATACTTTTCTTGATTTGCATTTTTTATCTTTCAAATTTTTCATTTTTTTAAATACCCTAAAAAGCCATTTTTTTATTTTTAAGAAAATACGTCCAATACATTACCTACTCGTCTTATTCCATATGCATCATATAGTTTACTTTTCAAGGAAACGATGGGATTAGAAGTTACAAGTATTTTCATGGGTGTTATTGGATATGCGGTACCAATCGCGCACTGCCATATCTGTCTTGGGCTTCTCGATGCTCAGTCTCGCTACAGACTCATTGACGTTTTGGAATTTTTCAGTCTTTAATTATTTATTCAAGAGGTTCTTTAGATTGTACTTACCTACCTCAGAATTTTAATTGTTCCAAATCATGGCTATTAGCCAGTTCTAGATGTTGCAGACCACTCAGGAACCAATAATATACAGGGTGAGCGAAGAGTCCCCGACCCCCTCTCTAACTTTTGAACGCATGCTTGTATCGAAACGAAATTTTGGGGATGCTCCTAGATCAATTAGAGCTACTTTTTGGCACATCCAAAATTTTTTTTTGGGGGGGCGCTTCCCCCGCGGGGGGCGCACACTAACTCGAAATTTTCAAATGGTAACCCCCCTCTTGAGATACATCGTTGGAAAGGTAATAAAATAAGAAACTTTTTGGCGCAAACCGGAGGTCGCTACGACTTTTCGTTCTCGAGTTATTCTCGGTCAAAGTTCAAAATAGGCCAGTTTTCAAAAAATCGTAAGTCCGGTTCAGAAAGGTGCAGAAATGCAAACGAGGTGGCAAAATGCTCAACATTGCATGTACTTTCAGAAGAAAATCGTCAAAAACCTTATCGTCTGCGCCTAGAGTGATTTTAGCCCCCCCCCCCTCCCGCGATTAACTGTCTTTCTTGCGGGGGGGGGGGGGGCTAAAATCACTCTAGGCGCAGACGATAAGGTTTTTGACGATTTTCTTCTGAAAGTACATGCAATGTTGAAAATTTTGCCGCCTCGTTTGCATTTCTGCACCTTTCTGAACCGGACTTACGATTTTTTGAAAACTGGCCTATTTTGAACTTTGACCGAGAATAACTCGAGAACGAAAAGTTGTAGCGACCTCCAGTTTGTGCCAAAAAGTTTCTTATTTTATTACCTTTCCAACGATGTATCACAAGAGGGAGGTTACCATTTGAAAATTTCGAGTTAGTGTGCGCCCACCGCGGGGAGAGCGCCCCCCCCCCCCATTTTTGGATGTGCCAAAAA